AGCTCCACTGAAGGCAACAAAGTTTCAATTATAGAAGGTAAATAAATCCCAGAATAAAAAAGAAAGAAAGAAAAAAAGGAGAGGCTGGGAGCTTCCGTCACCGGGGGCTTGGGCAGCCTGAAAACGTCCCTCAGCCCCTCACCCAGACTGGCCAGGCACCCCAGTGGGGACCCCCACCCTGATCCGGGACATCCTTCAGGGCAAACCAGCTGGCCCCCACCCGTGCACCAGGCCTCTATCCTATATAATAAAAGGGTAATATGCAAACTGACCCTAACAGCAGAACGACTGAGAATGACTGGTCACTATGACATACACTGACCACCAGGGGGCAGACGATCAATGCAGGAGCTCCCCCATGGTGGTCAGTGCGCTCCCACATGGGGAGCTCTGCTCAGCCACAAGCCAGGCTGATGGCTGCCAGTACAGCGGTGGTGGTGGGAGCCTCTCCCACCTCAGCAGCACTAGGGATGTCAGACTGCAGTTTAGGCTTGCTCCCTGCTGGCAAGTGGACATCCCCCGAGGGCTCCCGGGCTGCCAGAGGGATGTCTGATTGCCAGCTTAGGCCCAATCCCCCAGGGAACAGGCCTAAGCCAGCAGGTGGTCATCCCCCGAGGGTTCCCAGACCGCCAGAGGACACAGGCTGGGCTGCGGGACACCCTCCCCCCAAGTGCACAAGTTTTTGTGCACCGGGCCTCTAGTGTGGGATATAAAACAGACAGCAACAAAGTAAACAAACTCATACAGACAACAGTATGGCAGTTACCAGAGGAAAGGGCGAGGGGGCAAAAAGGGTAAAGGGGAAAATATGGTGACTGAAGGAGACTAGATTTGGGGGGATGAGCATACAGGTAATGTATCACATAATTGTACACTTGAAACTTAGGGATCTATATAATGTATCAACCAATGTCACTGCATTAAATTTAATTCAGTAAAAAAAATCAAAAAGCATATTCTTGAGCTTCACCTGAGACCTACTAAATCAGAAACTGGGAGTGTGGCCTAATAAGCTGTATTAACAAGTCTTTCAGGTGAAGTTTGAGAACCCTGCTCTAGAGAGTGAAGGAGCAGAAGGAAAAAGAGAAATAAAAATAAGAAAAAATAGCATATGTAGTGTTAAATGTCTCAAGTTCTCCATTGAACCCAGTGCCATATATTATGTTTTAAGTTTATTCTTAGCTTACTTGTTCTTCCCGTCTCCTTAAGAAATGACATTGTCTGCAGTCAGGTTCTTTATGATTTCCTATCAGGTCTAAAATTGTGAGGCCGGTTTTCCTTGCACTTATCTCCTATTTCTGAGTTTTTTTCACTTTCTTGGTTATTTGTCATACATAGTTGCTCAGTATCCTCATGCTGCTCAATTTTCCTACCATTGCATCTTTCTGCATCTAAACCTTGGACCTCTTGACTGCATCCTCTAGCTCGCTAATATAATGCTGCTCATGGTAAGAAATTATTTTAAGAATGTGGCAGAGTGGAATGGAGTTGATTTAATAGGGTGGTTTCTTTTGTTCGTTATTGAGAAATGACAAGATCTAAGGTACATTTCTATTTGTGTGTGTATGTTCACATCACTCAAAGGGAGGATTATGGTATATGGTAGATACCCCCTGAGTGACTGAGAAGATCTATATTCTGCCAATCAGCACATTTTTGCTAATCCTAAATCAGACGAGGAAACAGTTAACAGAAACATGTTGAGCCCTTGTTAACTTAAAAGCATGTGTAAGGAAAGAGCACGGACAATAGGACCACTATTTTTTTTTATTTTCTATACAAACAGCTAGCCCAAAAATGTCCAGGGAGCAGAAGTGGGGAGTGTTACTATTTTTTCTAGCTTTGAGATGTTAAAACCCAGCATTTCTCACTGTGTAGGAACTTGATGTACCTCTCTACTGACGCTAATCATTGTCTCCTTCTTTGGACACTAGAGGGCGTCAGACAGGATGTACAGCTGTTTGGAAACCAAGCTTCTCAACCACATTGCCTTGATACCGTTTCTTGGTGTAGAACTCATGCATATTGCACATTTTCTTTGGTTAACACTATTTTTGCTATTTCTGAACTTTTTTTTTTGAGGATTCAGGACATAAAACATTCTGTGAAGTTTGTTCTTCAGATGAACAACATTCATTCAATTCAGTGGCAATAACAGCTATTTGAGTAGGGATGTTTAAAATGCAACCATTATTGTGTCTCAATAATTAGCATAGTTTTCACTTTATTTAATAACCAGTGAAACTAAGTTTTAATTACTGAAATTACAAATTCCGGAGCAACCCGGAATAGCTTAAAGACAACTGAGTATCATTTTTGCTTTAAATATTTGGTTCACATGTTTTTTAATGCAGAAAACCCCATGATAATACTATAGTTTCATACATTTTATATTTTTTGAATTTGTTGTTTTCAAATCATTTGAGACATATTTAGAAGTATAACTTTCAGATACCAATCAGTTGCCTCCTGCACATCTCCTACTGGGGATGTGCCCGCAACCAAGGTGCATGCCCTTGACCGGAATCGAACCTGGGACCCTTCAGTCCGCAGGCCGACGCTCTATCCACTGAGCCAAACCAGTTTCAGCGGTTCACATGTTTTTTAATGCAGAAAACCCCCTGATAATACTATAGTTTCATACATTTTATATTTTTTGAATTTGTTGTTTTCAAATCATTTGAGACATATTTAGAAGTATAACTTTCAGATATACAGCTTTTCACTGAAATCAATGGATTTCAACCACTCAGTTTCACTGAATCAAATCTTTCTGGTATTAAAAAAGAGATTAAAATGCCTAAATATATATATTATATTTTACATATTTTTCTATTTAAATTCTTATATTGTTTAATACTATTGCATGTGTTAGTATTTCATAAATACTTCTATTTTCCTAATTTTTTTCAATAGGCACAAAAGGAAATAGAGATGAAAGGTGTGTGGAGCATGCCATCAAAATACAATGAAGAAGGAGTTTATCACATTCAGCATAGTTTCATTAAAGAAGCTGAACACCACTGCTTATTACATAGCCCTATTCCTGTGAACTGCCCTATAAGATTGCTCCATTGCATGGAGGATGATGTTGTATCTTGGCACACGTCCATACAGATTGCTGACCGAGTAGTCAGCACAGATGTAGATGTCATCCTTCGGAAACATGGAGATCACCGAATGAAAGAAAAAGCAGACATTCATCTTCTTGTTTGCACTATTGATGACTTAATTGATAGGCTTTCAACTGTAGTTACCTAGAATCACTTTTGTAATCGGTATGTAAACTAGTGGATCCAGAAGATCCTGATATTAGGTTTTTTCCCTCTTACCATTATTTTGTAGATATCACATGAGGTTTTATTTAATGATGTCTTTGCACTTAAGTGATATAAATTGTGAAGAAAGTACAGTTGTTCCTCTATACCCTCTAGGGATTGGTTCCAGGACACCCTCCACCTCTTGGATACCAGATTCTGAGGATGCTCAAGTCCATTATAGAAAAACGGCGTAGTATTTACGTCTAACCTGCACACATCCTACTGTACACTTTAAATCAGCTCTAGATTGTACTACCTACTCCAATGCAAATGCTTTGTAAATAGTTGTCATACTGTATTGTTTTAGGAATCAACCTTCTGGAGTTTTTCTTTTTTTAAGTATTTTTGACCCGTGGTTGGGTAAATCCAGAGATATAGAACCTGCAGAATCAGAGGGCGGAATATACCAGCTGCTAGAAAATTGGAAAATTTTCTTCTTCCTTCAGTCCCTGATTTTTTTTTCATTATTATATTTCCTATATTTTTATTCAAGAGATGTTTAACTTCTAATGCTTTTGTTAACTGTGTCAGCTTTTAATTGTGTTCTGGTCTCCTTAGAATTATTAATAAAGCTTAAATTTTTCGTATTTTGTTTGGTATCATTGTATATGGAGACTTGTAAAATTCTGATTTTAAAATCAATTCACAAAATATAGGAAAATAAACTTAAAATGATTAGAGAAACATCTGAAGCATAATAAAGTTCAAAAAATAAAGACTATTCTGCATGTTATATTTAAACTTAAAATTAAGGCTATCTTTTTTAAAGGCTCAAAGCTACAGTGATATACAGGGGTTATATCATTTCTAAGTTTTGGCTTATATGTAATATATTTAAATGGGGAAATTTTAATGATATATTTCATATTCTAAAGAGGGAATTACCATTACATAGTATTGCCTACCTGCAGAAACATTTCTTTATTATTAATATGTGCCTTAGATTTCAATAGGCAAGTACTTGCCATCTAAGTTAGAGGACTTTCAGAAGTGCAAATACAGTAAGGAAATATTAAATACAAATACAAGGTGTTTGTTTTTTTAATAACTGCAGTAGTCAGTCTCTACTATTGAGTTGGTGTATTTTAGATTTAGGTTTGGTTGGATTTTATTTAGCTTGCTAGAGTTATGTCTGTCAAAATAAAACAAAGTTGACAACATGAAGAAAGAATGCTGGGATAAAATTCTTGTGCCTAAAAGGGTTAACATAGCAGCAGCCTGACAACTCATCCTCAGAGACCTGCATACAGATTGGCCCTTGGCTGGCATCTGGGAACTTAAATTTTAGGAGGGTTCCCAGTACTGATAAAAGTGGCTCACTGTGCATAAACTGTCTGTGCAAACAATGTGGTTTGTGCTGAATACCTGCTTGCCTCTGGGAGTCTGGAATTTTGTCTGGCATAGGTGCCAGGCAGAGATTGCCTAAGTGGCCAGCTCCCAGTAAAAACTCTGGGCTGTCACAACACGACTGGGATTAAGTTCATCCAGTGTGACTTCACTGGGAGAGAATTCTTTGATGCTTCTTGCCTAGTTTTTCCAGATTTCACCTCAGATTCTTTGCCCTTTGTGGATTTTGCTTTGTATCCTTTTGCTGTCTAAATTGTAGCGGTGAGTACAGTTATATGCCGAGTCCTAACAAATCAAACCTAGAAGTGGTCTTCAGGAAGCCTGACACAGATATAAAACAGGTTAATGTCCTACAAGGCAATAACACTACAGACTGAGTTATCTTTTATACCAAACAAAAATCACAAATAAATATGTGAATTGTGTGTGCCACAGTGCCTGGTGCTAGAAGGAGTTGATAGTGGATGGCAGAAGAGCTATTCCAGTCACTGCCAGGCACAAGGATTACAAAGATGAGGAAAGGGCCCGAGCCATGTTACATAACTACAATAAAATGTAATAAATATGATTACAGATTCATAGTACATCTGTAGAGGAAGAATAGTATGTATAATGGTTACTGACAGACTATAGAGTGGATTTCAATCCTGGCCCACCATTTACTAGCCCTGTGATACAATATACTTACCCTCCCTGAGGTTTCTTCATCTGTAAAATGACAATATAAACCTAGATAATAAAGTGTAGGAATTAAGTACAGCACAAATAGAAGGAAACATAGGAGTCACTACCTTTTTGCTTTTAGTATGCACAGAGCACAGTCCTGTGAGGAACTGATGAATGCAATCCATGGGGATTTAGGAAGAAAAGTAGAGGCAAAGTAGTAGTTACCCTTTACTAACTTCCTGTGGTGATCTGGAGCATGTGTGGTGTGATATCCTTTCAAATGCTCAATGGTTAAAGAAAGGGGGGGAGGGGGGAATCCATACCTAAAGATAGAAACAATTTTAAAATTTAATCTAGCTTTGCAGAGGGTAGCATCAAAAATTCAATAGGAGTTTGAATCAGTGGGATTTAGTGTATTCTAGTAAATTATTAATTTCTTCAGTGTTCCTTTTTTATTTTTCCCCAAAGCTCTTTTTCCCCTGAGCTAAAACCACTCCATGCCATATATTCAGTGACATGGAAAATGCTCCAACAACCAGCAGCCCCTGAGTGCCTTATGCTGTTGATCTCCTGCGTTATTCAAAAAGCGACGTGACCCCTCTAAACAACCTCAGCATGTTAATGGAAAGGCAGCTCAGTGAGGCCACATGATACACTGTACTTGCTTCTGCTGCATCTGCTGAGCTCAGAGGCACTTCCAGCCAAATCTAAACAGTGTGCTGTCCTCTGAGGAACCAATAGAAAGGCCTGTGCAGAGGAGAGGAGGAAAAGGGCTTTGGGCAGGGCTGAGTTTTATAAAGGAGATAGAAAGCAAGGAGAACATTACCCACCACATAGCCATTTCCAGGGCAGCGCCCAAAAGGAATATGTCACATATTAAATTTGGGATGGTTTACAAAAGAAAACGAAAGAACTGCTATTTTCCGGAGGAAGATGGTTAGAATTATATACATTTTAAGATCCCCTTTACATACAAATCTAAAGTAACTTTAGAACATACTCATATATGCATAACTTGGTTCAAGGGGGAAATGTGATGATTTGCTGCTTAGGGAATATACCTAGAAAAAGACAGCCAGGTTTTTTTTAAACCAAATGAATCTTCAGAGGAAATTAAACTTGCCCATTTGGGCTCTCTCTTGTCTTGGGCTTCCAGGGTTTTGCTGACAGATCAAAGGAGCTCCTCATCCCTCTCTCTTTAAAACTTGACCCAGTGGGTCAAGTTTGTCGCTGGGTCCTCTGTGCTCTCTCATGAAAAGCAAGCACCCTCCTCATGCCCTTTGATAGAACTTACTCCTTTGAGATTCTCAGTTTATATGCCAGCCTCCCTCTCTCAAAGGACCATTGAGATCAGAGGCATTGCCATTGTTTATCCCCAGGTGTCTCTGACCATGCTACATCAACCCATTTTGCTGGCTCTCCTCCTTGCTCACCTTGTAATATTAATATGCCCTTTTCATTCTGACCTTGTTACTTACTTATGTATCTTGAGCAACCATACCCATGCTCCGTGTTTTAAGTGCTAACTGCATACAGATGATTCAAGTACATTCCTCCATTACAGGCTTTTCTCCTGAGCTCCAAGTACATAAAACCACTGCCTAATGATCTGGGATGAACCATGGACCTCCCAAACCCAGTGAGTACAAACCTTATTATCCTCCCCCTTTAGATGCCTCCCTACCTATGAGTCCCCTTACAATAAATGGCACCACCATTACCCCTGTATACAGGTCAAACTTCTTAGTCATCTAACCCTCTCCCTTTCTTTCATCCAAATCAGAACTGCTGGTTCTCTTTCCCTATGAAAACACACACACACACACACACACACCTCTTTTGCATGATATGTAAGTATAAATGTCCAGGACATTCAAGGGGGGGGGGCACCTTGATTCGTAGAGTTTACCAACATCTATGGCATAAATACTCTTGTCTTGGCTGCTTTCATGCTACCACTGTGATGTCACTGCATATGAGGAAGCTGGGAAGAAGTGGCCAGTAGCACACTGTTATGTAGAATATACACTATCTAGATCAGTGATGGCGAACCTGTTGAGCTCGGCGTGTCAGCATTTTGAAAAACCCTAACTTAACTCTGGTGCCATGTCACATATAGAAATTTTTTGATATTTGCAACCATAGTAAAACAAAGACTTATATTTTTGATATTTATTTTATATATATTTAAATGCCATTTAACAAAGAAAATCAACCAAAAAAATGAGTTCACATCTCACCTCTGACATGGGTGTCATAGGTTCGCCATCACTGATCTAGATGAAAAATGGGCCACATACTAAATGTGATAAGCTCAGGGGAGACCCGCATGGTGGGTCTTACAAACTCAGAGACAGGGTGGTCTGAAGATATCAATTCCTAACTAAAAGTGGGTCATGAGGGCTACGTGGGCCTGTAGCTTCTTTGACAAAGGTCAATCTTTACCTTTGAAATTGTCTATTGTCTTTGTGCATCAGAGAAAATATACCTTTGAAATAGCAGAGGACTATTCTTTCCCAGAACCAGATTTGCTTTGCTTTCTCCCACCTTCCTCATCTACCTCCATGGATTTCATGTAACCCTCCCTGGTTCCTCCCTGGATGCTAATCTATATATATAAAAGGCTAAGTGACTGACATACATCTGTGTGACCATCCGACTGATGGCCAGTACATATGATGTGCACTGGAAATCTATATATATAAAAGGCTAATATGCTAAGTGTCCTGGTAATGACATCACGTAGCAACAGCCGGCTTCCTCTCCCTAGCGACTAGCCTCCTTGCAGTTTCTTCAGCCCAGGAACACAACTTGCTTCATAGCCAGGTGGAAACATTTTACACTAACCAAATGTCTGTGAAGCATTTTCCCATGCCTCATTTGATCCTCACAGAAGTCCTGGAGCAGGTAGATAGGAGACTCGGTGGAATCCTATTTTCTTTTCATTAGCTAGTAAACAGAAATATAGAAAGCTTAGAAACTTGACCCGACTGAAAAGAAGTAAGAAATGGTGGAACTTGAAAATGACTTCAGGTTTTCTCACTGTGTAGAATATAGTCAAACACTG